TATATATATATATATATATATATATATATATATATATATATATATATATATATATTATTAATACTCACTAGTTTAGTAATTATTTTTAAATGCCAATTTTTTAATTATTTTTTTCTAAAATTAAATGGAATTTATTTTTATATATATATTGGGGTTTTTAAAATTAAATTTTTTAAAATTAATTTTAAAATTCGACTATGAATTTGGACGTTTTCTTAAAAATAAAAATAAACAACAAAAACGATTGTTAAACGAGATTTTAAAGATCAATAAAAGGAGCGAAAATGGTAACGTATTATAGTTCAACGTTGTCTTATAACTCCGAACAACTAAAATATCGACTTTTGTTGAGAATGGGTTGAAGTAAGAAAAATATAAGTATAGATCATGAAATTTAAGAGTAAATAAAAATGATTAGTTTAAAGACGATTCTGGCGTAGACCTCGATTAGGAGACTGAGTCCTCTTCTGATGGGGTTAGACTTCGACTGCTCAAGGCTCCTAGCCTAGAATTCTTGAAGGATGTAAGATCACTTCCTTCCTTGTTGCGGTGGATTTTGGTTGAAAGATTTTGATTTTCGGTGGTAAAGGCATTTGAGCCGAGGCTAGTCTTTAGGAACGAGTGACCTGCGAAGGCAAACTCTCAGTGATCTGGGCTGATGAAATTGGATCACGGGAAGATTGTGTAGATAACGGAGAAGGCTTTCCACGCTCGTAATATGGGGAACCTAACGGACAAAACAAGGAAATGAAAAAAGGGGAGCCCTTTAAAGAAGATTGAGTGAATAGGCTAACTATTAGCCGTTACCACTCGATTCCCGACTATGCAACGTTAATCCTTGTTGGGTGTCCCAAACAAGAAATAAGAAGAGAGTCAGTGGTCTATGTCATTGCACGTCTTTTCCCTTTGGTTGAAGTGGTTGCTAGTCTTTGGATCAGGCCGGTAGCTGCGGATCTTCTCCTTCATGATGTTGAACCACCATGTTTCTAGTCAACACCAACTCGATCAACTCTAGAGCCTATCAATCTTTGAGCTTCTACTATATTTTTGGAAAACGTCAACTAGATCAACCATAGAGCCTACTGATCTTTGAGTTTTTACTATGTTTATGGATAGCATCAACTCGATCAACTCTAGATCCTATCGATTCTTGAGCTTCCACTACATTTACCGACAACGTTAACTAGAACAACCCTAAAGTCTACTGATCCTTAAGTTTCTACTATGTTTTTCAAAAGATCAACTGGATTAACTCTAGAGCCTATCGATTCTTGAGTTTCCACTAGACCGTAGTCATGGAATCCAACTTCAACCCGGACAAAGATTCATGAAGATCTTGTTAGTAAAAATAATCTTTAATCTGCATTTTCTTTAAATCGGTTTTTGAACTTTCCGTACTAAAAAATTGTGGCAAATCTCTCCTATCTGTAATGTCATTTTTTCGGATCGTACGACTCATATACTCGATTTAAACGAAGAACATGAAGAACAAAAAAGAGAAGATGTAAAGAGAAATATACGTGGTAACATCAAAATAGAAAACTCCACGACTATACGTTTATATATTAATGATTTCAAGTAGTATTTTATATCTATATTTAGCTTGTCCGAATGATATATTTATGGATTGGTTTGAAGATTCAATCCAAATTTGGTTCAAACCGATGCTATAAGGTGACTATATCTAATCTTATGAACGATTAACATAGACCAATCTGACTTAGTCAAACGTTGATTTTTAGATGAGCTTGGATCAAACTTGAGTCCAGTTTCGTGTTTGGCCCGTGTTGAGAAAAATTAGTAACCAGACGGATTTTTCTTTTTCGGTTCTACATAAAATTTTTGTTAATAAGAAAAAAAAATTATTTTTTAAGAAGCATAGACTAAAAAAAACTAGAAACATAAAAATTTCTTAGTACTAACTAGCACCGATGTTAATAGGACAGGGCGGAGATGGGAAAACGTTTCTCGTTTCCATCTCTGCCACCTATTTCAATTTCCATCATCGCCAAATTTCTCTTTTATTTTTGTGGAAAGGGAGCAGAGATTTTCTGTGAATTTTTTTTCATTTATTATTCTTAAAAAAAACAGCTATTTTAATTAAAAATGGTATAAAAATATTAATAAATTAATATATTCTATTGATTTAAATTTTCAAATTTTAATATTACATCGATTTTAAAATATTTTTAGGATGATTTTTAATTCAAATATTATCATAAAAAAAAACATAAAAATTAATTAATTTATTTTTTTAATATAGAAAAAAAGCGCATATATATATATATATTAAACGGAGTGGGACTGTGATGAAGAATATTCCAATCTGCCGTATTTATCTTGAAAAAAATATTCTTCACTTTTTCTTTCGTTCTCTAGATGTAGCTAGGGGCGAGTAGCCACAGATAAAATGGACATTTCTACCCCTCCCGATTGGGAGATATTACCACAATATTTCTATCTTAAGATGATTTTATAAATAAATGAAAAGGTGTATAGGCTAAGTTCTGCTAGGGGTGTACATGGTTCGGGTTGGGTTGGGTTGAGCGATTTTTTTGACCCAACCCAAAAGTTCGGGTTGGTTGGATTGGTAACCCAACCCAACCCAAAACTTTTCACGACCCGACCCAACCCAACCCTCTTTTTTCGAGTTGGGTTGTTAATTTTTTTTTTAAAAGTTTTATATATCCACAATTTATAATTATTCGGATACAATCTTATATAAAATATATTAAAAATTTACAAACAAACACAAATTAATCCATAATTATTAAAAAAAAAAAATTCAATAAAAAACAACGAGCGAAAATTGTAACATATTAACATAATTCGAGTGAAAATTGTGACATATTAATATAGTTCAACATGTCATAAAAGTAAACAATGCCGGACATTTCTTAAAAATGAGTTAAAATAGAAAAACATAAAGGATATATCATGAAATTAAATAAACAATAAAAATGATTAGTTGATATTGTATATAACACAAAAAAAAAACATATAAAAATATTTTAGTTGAAATATGTTTACTTACTTGATATGATTGGATAAAGATAAATAGCCTAAATTATTAAAATAATATATATATATATATATATATATATATATATATATATATATATATATATATATAAATAAATTGTGATATAATAATATTACTAAAAAAATAAATACTTTAGAATGGTTGGTATATATTTAAATATATTTAAACTAGAATTTATAAATATAATAACGTTAGCAACAAATATAAAATAAATATATTAGAACAAAATTGTAACGCCCGCTCATCGTCAACGCGATTAACAGGGGTTACCATCATCAACGACAACATACTCTAATACCCAATCATAATCTCAAAATATTTAAAAAAAAACATCCAGTAAAACATTTAAAACCAATGCTATTTAAACTTAAACCAACCGAAGTAAATTCTTGACAGCGAAAACATAAATATACAAAACAGACACAGACATGGATTCCCAGTAGTCTTCAGTCCGCTGGTCTCGTCCTCGGTTGGCCTGCATCATCTAAATCTGGAAAGAAAAGTTATAATAATTTTGATGAGTAATTAGATTACTCAGTAAGTAGCTAGCTTATCATTCAAGAGTTCATAACTAATCTTTCCAGGTGTTTTTAGGTTTTATTCATCATTGACTCCTAGTTCTCTTACTAGGGTCATCTGTTCGTTAATGAGGTATCTCAGCTACCTCCAGCTAGGTTACTGACTCTCTCTCTCGATATGCTTATCTAGAATTTTCGGACTCGTATGTAAGACTCACTCTCGGTCAAATACGGCCCGTCTACTAATTGCTCTGGCGGCCTGTTTATCTCATATACCAACGGTCAGGAGTACTCATGCTCCCTGACTTAGCACACAGCGCGTTGGCCAGGAACTCCGCGGGAATTAGTAGACTATCATACTCAGTAAATAAGCCATAGCTCAACCACCAATAAGCATATCTAGAGTCATAACCTTTCCATTAACATGCATAACATACTCACAGTTGCTGCATGCTTTCATACATGTATCATGATCAACACGTAGAACATTCTGACAATCGTTTATATTACGCTTACATCACAGGCAAGCAGTCACAATATACAATAAGCACTAAATATCATCAAACCTCATCATAACTTATTAAGCTCTTAATCAGGTAAACAACATACTCACATGTTGTAAAACAAGTTAAGAACTAGTTCAAAGGTTGATACGCTACTTACCTGGTTTCGAATCCCTTTCTCTCTTGATTGTACATTTAATAGGGTATTTCAACACAATTCCTTCCAATTAGACCTATATTTCACCATTTTCAAGGTAAGTATAGATCAATCTAGGTAGAACAGGTCAAAACAAATCGAACGGGACAAACCGGGAACCGAACTGACACTTCACGCGCCTCGGTGTGTCTGTCCCACGCGCCAGTCGCACGCCCAGTCGCGGCCCTCACGCGCCTGCGTGTAGTGCACGCGCTTCTTCTTCTTCCTTGTGTTTTTCTGAAATTTTCCCATCTTTTCTGTTAATACCTACTATATCCCGAAGCCATATCCTCCTTCCACGGTTCGAATTTCATCCTGATTCTTTCTACAAATTTATAGATCTCCTTATTACGTTTCTAACAAGCCCTATTTCATAACTTATTATACAATACGAACCAAGATATCGAGATTTAAAGGTTCGGTGATATGGGTTTTTTGTTACCTTTGCGACAACCGCTTAAATCAGCTTAGTTCAGAGCTTCAATGGCTAAAAAGCCTTCACAATCGTCTCCCCATCCTCATGTTTGGACGTTGTCACAACAAACGCCAAAAAAAAACTTAAGGTTTTGCCGGAAAACACGGATTATAATACTCTCTGTTTTCTGTTTCCCTCTTCCTCTGTTTCTTCGATATTATTTGGTGCTTCCTCGTCGGCCTTGCCAAAGCCAACCACCACCCCCATCCATAACACTAACACAAAATAAACCACCCTTCTTCCTCCCACACCTCCATCTTCCTCTCTTTTCTTTCTTTTCCCTTCAACCATCTGTCCATTCTTCCTTTCTCCATGGCAGCAGCTTCAAGCTGCTGCTGTCTTCTTCTTTTTTTTATATTTTTTATTATTATTATTATTATTATTATTATTTATTTATATTTTTATTTAATTAATTAATTAATTTATTTATTTATTATTTTCGGGTTATTACAATTTTATCAAAATTTAGAATTACTTATCTATAGAATATAATTTATAAACATTGAACTAGCAAAGTACATAATAGAGTTTTTTAAATATATTTAAACTAAAATTTATAATATTTTTAAAAATATATATATATAAAAGAAAAAAATTTTTTAAATATATTTAAACTAAAATTTATAATATTTTTAAAAATATATATATATAAAAGAAAAAAAAGAATATAATTTATGAACATTGAAGAATTTTTTAATTTTAAAAATATATATATATAAAAGAAAAAAAAGAATATAATTTATGAACATTGAAGAATTTTTTAAATATATTTAAACTAAAATTTATAATATTTTTAAAAATATATATATATAAAAGAAAAAAATTTTTTAAATATATTTAAACTAAAATTTATAATATTTTTAAAAATATATATATATAAAAGAAAAAAAAGAATATAATTTATGAACATTGAAGAATTTTTAATAATTTTAAAAATATATATATATAAAAGAAAAAAAAGAATATAATTTATGAACATTGAAGAATTTTTTAAATATATTTAAACTAAAATTTATAATATTTTTAAAAATATATATATATAAAAGAAAAAAAAAACACATATTTTTGCCCGGATTCGAACCCAAGTGTGAATTTTCTTCAACCGGCCATAGGACCACTCTGGCAAACCTATTAAAATTTAGTGAATTTTAATATATTCTATATATTTAAATTTGGCTTGGGTCAACCCAAGGGATTTACCCACGAACCCGAAACCGAACCGATTTAATTCGAGATCAGAAAAATGAACCCACCCTGCCTGCTAATCCAACCCAACCCAACCGTTATAGTTAGAGTTGGGTTGGTAGGAGTTGTCAATGTAGCTTCTGCCATTGAGAGTCCAACAAAATTCTTGGGTGATTACAATTCTTGGGTGATTACAATTCTTGGGTGAATTTCTTCTCCACCATTTCTGCAGCAGCATGCTTTTGAAGAGTTCCATTTTCAATCCCGTTCCGACTTCGCCGCCTCTGCTTCCCCCTCTCTTCTCCGGCTCCCCTTCCAGGTTCCATCACTCTCTTAATTTACTCTCTCTTTCATTGTGTCAATTCTATTCCATTTTCTGCTTTTGTAGTCGTTTTCTTTCCGTTTATTTGCTCTCGTTCTATTTTGTTGGATTCTTGTGTCTGTTTGTGTGTATGCAGGGCAAATCTTACTGAAAATATAGCCATTGAGGGCCGTAACCTCACCTTCTCGATCACGACGCGGCAGGGCAAAATTGTGCCTATTCTTAGGGATTGCTCGCTCCGGATTCCGTCAGGTCAGTTTTGGATGCTTCTTGGACCTAATGGCTGTGGAAAATCCACTCTCTTGAAGGTACAATCCAGATTCACTCACGTTTCCCTTTCTGTAATCTGTATTTGAAGGATTTGGATTGTGATACAGAGGCCTGATTGAGCATTTTTTTCCCTCTTTGAAAGAAGTTTTCTGTTGTTTAGAATAAAATTGAGTCCATACATGTTTCATAACTATTATCTAAAAGAAAAAACAAAAGAAGAGAAAATAGTGACTTCGCTATGCATTGCACTAACATTTTTTTTTAATGACAAACGAAATTTGTTCATTCAATTAATGAAAAGAGACCAATGCTTAAAGAATGAAAGCTTCCCAAAGGAGTAAAAAGAAGCGACCAAGTAGGATTATCCAAAAAATTCTGAAACATTTCTCAAAAAAGAAAAAAAAAATTATCCTACCAAAACACCGAAATAGAAGTCGAGAATGCTGAGCTCCGAGCAAAAGAGATTGAAGGAGGGAGGAGCCAAGGGAATCTGAAGAAAATTGATTTTGGAGGCTGAAAAGAAATTCCAAACAAACCAGAAGATTCTTACCAAACTGAAGCAGAAAATTGGAAGAAACTGATAAAGAGAAGAACAGAAACCCATAAAAGCGTAATCCAATTCCATATTAACAGTTTTGAAAACAAATTAGAAAATTGTTCTGATCTGAACGTGATTTGTCAAGCATGCCGAAAATCCTTACTGTCTTGTATTTTGCATAATATAGTGAAGTCACTTGACAAATATGCTATAACACTAATCTCTGTGGAGGTTCCATCTACTCTAATGCAAGCTTTGGGAGATAATAAGGATGTTATGCATTATGTTTATAGCCTGGGGCTTGAACCTTCGACTTTAGAAAGCATCTTCTTACATTTCAAGTTCTCATTGAGACAACTCTTTGGGTATTGCGATTTACGACTCGTATTTCTTAGTATCCAAAAGAGTACAAAATTTAACACCACTATCAAATGGGCCCTAATATGTCACCATACTTTTGTAGTTCAATAGATCAAATGATGCAAGTTATAAGTCCTCGATGTGTTCACTATGTAGGTCTTGGCTGGTCTTTTGAATGCGTCAACTGGTGCAGTATACGTCAAGAAGCCTAAGTGCTTTGTCTTCCAAAACCCCGACTATCAGGTTACCTTCCTTCATCGTTTTAACCTTCGGTTGGTATATGATAAAATTATAGCTGAATTTAACACCTTGGAAGAGAATTTACTGTTATGGCACAGTTTCTCTTTTTAAGTAAGTAAATATGTTCTGTTTTAACTGTGTGCCTTTTGCTCTTGAAGTAATTGTTGGGTTATTTTGATGTAGTTGGTTTTGCATCAGAGCCACATTGAAAGTTATTATATTAGTTACTACTAACTAGCTATAGTCAGCTCATCCATCCTCTAGAGGACATCTGTATTCTATTTGTGAAACCATCATCAAAACCTAATGCCATTGATTTGAAGAATGGACTTTGTTAGATGAAGTACAACAAAAGTAGTGTTTGAACTCTGTAACTATGAGATATGAATGTAAGAAATACATGACTGATTACTGACTCAACAATATTACTTTCATCTTTGAAAAAGTAGGGGGTGTTGCATCTTAAACTGTCAATTTGTGTTTGATTAATTCTTGTTGTTGACATTGTTACTTAAATGTTGATTGGGAATGTTGACTGTTCAATGGAGTAATTATTTAACATGATATGGCAACAATTAGTATGGGAGAGTGGACTAGTTGAACAAAACAAGTTTGGGTTGGTCAATTTTTTTTTGATTTTATATAGCCTGCCCGTCCCACCAAAATTTTATGCCACTTTATCCTTATTTTATCTAGTTGACATATTTCCTTTTGTCATGTCATTTACAACTTGTTATCCAAATTGTAAGTATTGTTAATATTTTAGTACCAATAATAATGGTATGAACTTAATAAATCAATAAAAAAAAAGTTTAGGAATACAATTGAAGCTTTTGAGAGTTTAGTATCAACACGACTGAATTCAGGGACTAGGTTTGAAATTTGACCTAAAATATATCCTTAGAAGATGGTAGAAACAGCAAGCACAAAGTTGCCGGCTTGAGAAAATCTATTGAATTTCAAACATGCATATGCATTCTTGCAAACAAACAAGCTGTACAGGTTTATCATCTTTCTTTTTGCTCGTATTGTTGTAAGGAACATCTGCTGCAAATAATTCTTTTGTTTGCCAGGTTGTGATGCCTACTGTGGAAGCTGACGTTGCATTTGGCCTCGGTAAGTTAAATCTGACCAATGAAGAAGTTAAATCAAGGGTTCTGGAAGCTCTGAGCTCGGTTGGCATGTCCAGCTACCTTCAGGCAAGTCATATAGTTTTGTAGTTTATCAAAATAGGAAGTTATAAACAACAGCTGAAGTTAGTTTGAAAGTTCCTAATTCTTGTTCCTCAGAGATCCGTTCAAACGCTGAGTGGTGGTCAGAAGCAAAGGGTTGCCATTGCTGGTGCTTTGGCTGAAGCATGTAAAGTGCTTCTATTAGATGAACTGACCACATTCCTCGATGAGAAGGATCAGGTATTTCCTATCATACAAGTAGATTTGTGAATGTTCCATCACATAATCCCAATGGTAGAATTTGACATGCTGTGCTGATTATTGCAAACAAATCTGGTCTCCACCCACTCCCTAGGCGGCCAATGTGATAGGCTTGGAATGTTCAGAGATATCCTTCAAAATTTGGTTCATGGTTTAAGTTGAAAATTATTAATTAAAACCTCGATTAGATAGGTGAAACTTTTCTAGCAATTCGCAGGGTAGGTCATGAGCATAATAATTTATTTACTAGAAACTTGATATAGACACACGTTTTCTTCATTTACTTAATCCTTAAATTCGTACACGAGCAAGGGTTGGAAGTCATATGTAGCATCAAAGTTTCAAAACAAATTTAAGTTCTTATTATTATGACATATTAATGATAAGGACTAAAATAGCCCTTTTTATGCACAATAAAGTTCTGGTTAAACTATTAAAGATAAATTAATGTGGTATCAAGTTTCTAAATAAATTTCATGTAGTATGGAGACTAAAATAGAACATTTTAAAGATAGAGAAACTAAAATAGACCATTTAAATTTTAGGAGACAAAACGAAATATGTAGGAAAGTCCTTGGACCAAAATAAAATTTAAACAAACCATTTACTTTTTTGAGGTTGTATCTATCCTCTTATTTTGTTATCCTTTTTCCACATTTTCTTTTCTAAATCAGATGGGGGTGATCAAAGCAGTTAGGAATTCTTTGCACAATTCTGAAGATGTTACAGCATTATGGGTGACCCATCGCTTAGAAGAACTCGAGTATGCTGATGGCGCTATCTACATGGAAGACGGGAAAGTCATCATGCATGGTGATGTGGAAAGTGTCCAAAGTTTTATCAAAACGAAACAATCAGATTATATCAAGCGTATTTACTATTCGTGACTGTCATCTCTCTTTCAAGTGATGTTTTTCTTGTTACATTATTATAACATTGCATTATATAGTTTTGTATCATCTAGTTCCATAGTAAAATCATTCAGTTGTTGCATTATTTCATTACATAATGAAGAAAGTTTTTATACTCCTTTTCTGCTTCCATCTAATTAACCTTGATGAATATATCAACCGCTATATATTGGCTGTAACGTCATATGCTTTATGGCAATTACCTTCTGATATACTATGCGCTTTCTTATGACAAGTATTATATCATATGAAATATTATCCGGTACAATATTTTGGCTTCTTGAAGTTTATTAGCATATGTCTGGATTTGGTTGAATACTTTTTGTTGGCTGTTTGTGCTTTTTTGGAGTCTGAAGATTAATCAGGTTTGATTTAAGCACAAGTTCAGGTTTGACTTAGAGCTCGTGATAAATCCGTTACAAGTCCAAGTGAAGAGGTCCTTGAAGCTAGCATCGCGGTGTGACATCGAGGCTAGCATCGTGGTGTTAGAAGAAGTCTACTGGAACTCATGTTACAGGTAAATTTACAAATGATCTATTCGATGAGTTGATATACATTCAAGGAAGCTTATGAGATTTGTATTGATCTTTTCTTATTATAATCTTCTCAACCGAGATTACAATCTAGTGAATGATGATTGAAGATCCAAATACATAAAAATCTCTATTACAAATTCTCTTATTTTTAGTGTCTTGATTTGTCAGAAGGGAAATTGAAGATCTTAAAATCTCTTCAAAGTCCTAATAGTTGGAACGGGGTATCAAATTAAACCCACTATTTATCTTGCCATTTGATACTGCCTGCAGCTATGGCTGCATTTCATGATGTGTTTCATGTCTCTATGTCATGTAGATATATAGCATACCCATCACATATTATATACTTGGATCTATTCCACTTGAGGGAAGATCTGAGTTATGCAGAAAGGTCTACATAAATTTGTACAAGAGAAATAAAGACTTTGCATAAGAGGGAGATGACACCTGCAAAAGTATTATGGGAGAATCATCTATTGAAGCAACCTGAGAATGAGAAGATGAAATAAAGACCAATTACCCAAAGTTGTTTAAGAACTAGACTTTTTTAGGGATGAAAGCTTTTAAGGAGGAAAGAAATCGTAGTACAAAAAAAAAAAAAAAAAAAAAAAAAAAAAAAAAAAAAAAAAA